TAAATTATGATGTATTACCAGGCACCGTACGAAGTATAATATACATATAGTGGACGTACAAATTAGGACATAAGCCATAATAAAACGTGATTTTTTACCACTGGGTAAATTATGATGTATTATCAGGCACCGTACGAAGTATAATATACTTATAGTGGAAGTACAAATTAGGGCATAAGTCATAATAAAACATGATTTTTTACCACTGGGTAAATTATGATGTATTACCAGGCACCGTACGAAGTATAATATACATATAGTGGATGTACAAATTAAGACATAAGCCATAATAAAACGTCATTTTTTACCACTGGATAAATTATGATGTATTACCAGGCACCGTACGAAGTATAATATACATATAGTGGACGTACAAATTAGGACATAAGCCATAATAAAACGTGATTTTTTACCACTGGGTAAATTATGATGTATTACCAGGCACCGTACGAAGTATAATATACATATAGTGGACGTACAAATTAGGGCATAAGCCATAATAAAACATGCTTTTTTACCACTGGGTAAATTATGATATATTACCAGGCACATACGAAGTATAATATACATATAGTGGGCGTACAAATTAGGACATAAGCCATAATAAAACGTGATTTTATACCACTGGGTAAATTATGATGTATTACCAGGCACCGTACGAAGTATAATATACTTATAGTGGACGTACAAATTAGGGCATAAGCATAGAAAACTTACATTATCTATGGTATGCATAATAAAAATACCCCGTGAATATATATGTAAATCTTTTTCACGCCAATATTTTCAGTACATATGTCAATGCAAATACATTTTACACACCCACTGATTACGTCTCTCGCATTTCGATGAAAACGTTGTATTTAACTAAAGCACCTCAATATTCGGTGTAAATAATTAAACACGACGGGCAAATATTATTCCACGTGGCGACAAGAATGAGTTCACCGGCAAATGAGAGAGTTTCGAGAGAACAGACTTATCTCACGATTCTATAATACGAGGGGAGTCTCAAAAGTAAGATCCACTATTTTTTTAAACCCTTTTGGTTGGCGGGAAACGTTTGAAATTTGAAGGGATTCTTTGCTGTGTGTAGTGCAAGCCCTGTAGAATCCGTATGCGCGCGCATTCATCGCTAGGTTAGTCACGCCCCCCGTCGCCATGGAGACCCCACGCGCTCCTACCGCCGATTGTGAAGTATGTGGTGTATTTCGTTTTTTAACAATATAACATTAATATAATTTTAGTTAAAACACTACCTAGAGATACGCCATAGGCCGTAGAAGGTGGTCCATATATTTTTCATGGTGGTAGAGTCATGCCATTCCACCAATTTACATTTATTGGTGTATAACAATGTTGAGATACTAAAACAACATAAAAAAGTCGTTTAAATCAGTTTTATTTACAAGCGGAATAAAAAATCGATTTTTTATGAATTATTAGAGCGATATTCAGGCACGCCATAGGCCGTAGAAGGTAGTCCATATATTTGTCATGGTAGACCATTGCCATTCTACCAATTTACATTTATTGGTGCATAACAATGTAGAGATACTAAACCAACATCAAAAAATTTGTTTAAATCGGATTTATTTACAAGCAGATTAAAAAATCGAATTTTTATTAATTATTAGAGCGATATTCAGGCACGCCATATGCCGTAGAAGGTGGTCCATATATTTGTCATGGTAGACCATTGCCATTCTACCAATTTACATTTATTGGTGCATAACAATGTAGAGATACTAAACCAACATCAAAAAATTTGTTTAAATCGGATTTATTTACAAGCAGATTAAAAAATCGAATTTTTACGAATTATTAGAGCGATATTCAGGCACGCCATATGCCGTAGAAGGTGGTCCATATATTTGTCATGGTAGACCATTGCCATTCTACCAATTTACATTTATTAGTGTATAACAATGTTGAGATACTAAAACAACATAAAAAAAAAGTCATTTAAATCAGTTTTATTTACAAGCGGAATAAAAAATAGATTTTTTATGAATTATTAGAGCGATATTCAGGCACGCCATATGCCGTAGAAGGTGGTCCATACACCGGTGCCGGTTTTTGGACCTCAGGAGGATAGAAGCCCCCAACAAAAGGGACGTCACCGGACTTATAAGTCTCTATCTTGACAGTTGGTTTTCCAGGCGCAGGAAACAGCTGAGGAAAGCCGAGTCCAAGTTTCTCCACAATCTTCTTCGGATCGAACTTATCACTGAAATCGTGAACCGAGCCAAAGAAGTTCGCCAACTGTCCGTGTCCTTCCTTCAAGAAATCCAGCTTGGATGGCACGTGACTTCCGGTGAATTTCTCGAAGAGGTGGACCTTGTTCTCCAGGAAACTCTTTTTTGCCTCCAAAGGAGCTAATTTCGCCGCCAGCAGAGATTTGGCAAAAGTCAGTTTTGCAGCCTTCAAGGAAGCGATCTTCGCCAATTTTGCCGCCGCAATGGATTTCAAAACGTTGATTTTGGCTTCCTTGACTCCTGTGATGACCTTAAAATGATATGAAAGAGTCAGCCTATATATATCTGGGAAGTCAAATCGTTGGGGAAATTATTCCTACCGATTCGTTTCAAATCTCACCACGGGAATGTGGAGGCGCTAGAGTAGGTCCTGAAACTCGTGGAGTTTCGGTTTTCATGAAAAATTGATTTATTTATCATGGACTAGGACCAATATGGCGGAGTCAGGAAACGTTTTCGATGTTTTATGCCTCTTGGAGGTTTAGAATCGAAAATGGAGAGTTTCAGGACCTAGCTCAAACAATTTAGAATACCGCAGAAATTTAATATTATAGCGTTAGATGGGAAAATGTGGAAAATACTTTCACCAACGATTGCAAGAAAATGCTGCCTAGCATGTGTCTTTAGAGCAAAAATTTAGTTGCAGCTGAACATCACAGATGGCGCCGTTGGTCCTACACAGTCGTTAGAATAATGAATTTCCGTGATTTCGACAGTTGTACGTTGATCTCTTCATCATTACTTTCCCGAAATGACATATGGAACGGTTCAGTTCGTAAAACTCTCAACGTAGACTGTAAAAGACCAACATAAATATAAATGGCAGTAACGTGACGCGCCAGCTTATGTTCTCATTTAGGTATTCAAAATGACGTTCCCCCCAAAAAGGGTATAGATGAATTTTAATTTATCGACCTGGATTAAATTTCTCAGCGCCTTTTATATCATTTTAAGATGATATGAAAGAGTCAGCCTGTATATGTATGAGAAGTCAAATCGTTGGGGAAAGTATTCCCCGAATTGGATGTACCGATTCGTTTCAAATCTCACCACGGGAATGTGGAGGCGCTAAAGTAGGTCCTGAAACTTGTGAAGTTTCAGTTTTCATGAAAAATTGATTTATTTATCATCGACTAGGACCAATATGGCGCGGTCCGGAAACGTTATCGATGTTTTACGCTTCTTGGAGGTTTAGAATCGAAAATGGAGAGTTTCAGGACATAGCTCGAACAATTTAGAATACCGTAGAAATACTTTCCTGAATGATTCCAAGAGAATGCTGGCTTATCCCGTGGCTAACACGTAGTTTTAGCAAAAATTTAGTTACAGCTAAACGTCACAGATGGCGACGTTGGTTTGTCAGAATATAAAGAGCCATGAATTCATGGGATTTCGGCAGTTTTACGTCGATCTTTTTATCATTACTTTCCCGAAATGACATACGGAACAGTTCAGTTCGTAAAACTCTCAACGTAGACTGTAAAAGACCAACATAAATATAAATGTCGGTAACGGGACGCGCCAGCTTATGTTCCCACTTGAGTATTGAAAATGACGTTCCCCCCAAAAAGAGTACAGTTGGATTTTAATTTATCGACCTTGAATACAATTCTCAGCGCCTTTCATATCATCTTAAGGTGACATGAAAGCGTCAGACTGTATATATCTCAAAAGTCAAATCGATGATAAAAGTATTCTCCAAATTGGGGGTACCGATTCGTTTCAAATTTCACCACGGGATTGTGGAGGCGCTAAAGTAGGTCCTGAAACTCGTGAAGTTTCAGTTTTCATGAAAAATTGATTTATTTATCGTGGACTAGAACTAATATGGCGGGGTCCGGAAACCTTTTACGCTTCTTGCAGATTTAGAATCGAAAATGGAGAGTTTCAGGACCTAGCTCGAACAAGTTAGAATACCGTAGAAATATAATATTACAGAGTCAGATGGGAAAACATGGAAAATCCTTTCCCAACGATTGCAAGAGAATGCTTGATCGTCTTGGAACTAACGCAGGTCTTTAGAGCAAAAATTTAGTTGCAGCTAAACGTCACAGATGGCGACGTTGGTCCTAAACAGTCCTTAGAATAATGAGTTCCCGGGATTTCGACAGCTTTTCGTCATTAGTTTCCCGAAATGACATATGGAACGCTTCAGTTCGTATAATTCTCAACGTGGACTGTAAAAAACTTCAACATAAATATAAATGTCGGTAACGAGACGCGCCAGCTTATGTTCCCACTTGAGCATTCCAAATGACGTTCCCCCCAAAAAGGGTATAGATGAATTTTAACTTATCGACCTGGATTTAATTTCTCAGCGCCTTTCATATCACCTTAAGCTTGGCTCCTCCCACCGCCTTAAGGCCGTCGACGACGGCGTTCTTCTTTAAGAGAGCTCCAGTCTTGAAGTCTGCAACCGCCGACTTCAGATCCTCTATCAGACCGGCCTTCGCAGCAGCTGCTTGTGATAAGAAGATCTTCTTTGCCAGAAAGCCGTGGGACCCTCCAGCCATCATTGTTGCCTAAGAACGAGATATTGTTTAAACAAAAGATATGCGTATGCAGAAATATACTTTTTCTCTTTTTAAATTGCCTCCCTTGTGGTGAAGTGAAACACGTCGAGGAACTTCATCGATGTCGGTAAAAGAGATTTTTATAAATACCTACGTTGCCGACGTTCGTTTTTATATTGACAGCTGTGTTGAATTATATTAAGTATTGCATTAAATGGCAAACTCCATCCAAAAGATGTCTTATTCGAGTCGACTGTTCTCACAGGGTTTCACTTCACCTTAATCCTTTGAATACGGAGACATTTTGACATATGGGCGAAATTCGTCTGACCGTGCAGGCAATGTTGGACCAAACGTCGGGCGCCTTTAGGCGCTCTTAGTAGCCAAACGTAACTGTTAGGTTATTACATTGTAAGAAATGTTATGTTATTTGTTAGTTTTAAGTTATGTAACTGTTACGTTATTACCATGTAACAAATGTTATGTTATTTATTAGTTTTAAGTTGCGTACCTGTTAGGTTATTACATTGTAAGAAATGTTATGCTATTTGTTAGTTTTAAGTTGCGTAACTGTTAGGTTATTACATTATAACAAACATTATGTCATTTGTTAGTTTTAAGTTACGTAACTGTTAGGTTATTACATTATAACAAACATTATGTTATTTGTTAGTTTTAAGTTATGTAACTGTTAGGTTATTACCATGTAACAAATGTTATGTTATTTATTAGTTTTAAGTTGTGTACCTGTTAGGTTATTACATTGTAAGAAATGTTATGTTATTTATTAGTTTTAAGTTGCGTACCTGTTAGGTTATTACATTGTAACAAACGTTATGTTATTTGTTAGTTTTAAGTTGCGTAACTGTTAGGTTATTACATTATAACAAACATTATGTTATTTGTTAGTTTTAAGTTACGTAACTGTTAGGTTATTACATTGTAACAAAAGTTATGTTATTTGTTAGTTTTAAGTTACGTAACTGTTAGGTTATTACCTTTTAACAAACGTTATGTTATTTGTTAGTTTTAAGTTGCGTAATTGTTACGTTATTACATTGTAACAAACGTTATGCTATTTGTTAGTTTTAAGTTGCGTAACTGTTAGGTTATTACCATGTAACAAATGTTATGTTATTTATTAGTTTTAAGTTGCGTACCTGTTAGGTTATTACATTGTAACAAACGTTATGTTATTTGTTAGTTTTAAGTTCCATAACTGTTAGGATATTACATTTCAACAAACGTTATGTCATTTATTAGTTTTAAGTTGCGTAACTGTTAGGTTATTACATTATAACAAACGTTATGTTATTTGTTAGTTTTAACTTACATAATTGTTAGGTTATTACATTATAACAAACGTTATGTTATTTATTAGTTTTAATTTACGTAACTGTTAGGTTTGGTGTTCAGTGGGTATGTATGCGTCTATCTCTTATGTATATGTATGTCTATGTCCTTGACATGTATTATTTCGATTACGTTAGCACTTGGCCCGATATTCCGGGAAAAGAAGATTTGCGCGACATAATTAAGCGGTACAGAGAGATAATTGAAAGTGATATCATTTCATGTTTGTTGTCCTTTTATTATTGATTATTGCAAGAAAAATTCCCCACGCGGAAACAGTAATCTTGGGAGAAGTATTAATGTACATTTAATGTCTCTTTCTTCCCGAATTTTCGTTATCTCCGTCGATTGCTTTTTATTGTTAAGATTAATGTTATCAAACATTCTTGCAACACTGTTAATAATATTCATAAATGTATTTGGCTCGAAAGTCTACCGTGTTTCTTGAATTTTTATTGTTTAGATTAATAATGGATGTTATCAAACATTCTTGCAACATTATTAAAAATGCTTTAAAATGTATTTGGCTTGTAACTCTACCGTGTTTCTTAAATTTTTATTGCTGAGATTAATAATGAATGTTATTAAACATTCTTGCAACACTGTTAATAATACTCATAAATGTATTTGGCTCGAAATTCTACCGTGCTTCATGAATTTTTATTGCTGAGATTAATATTGGATTTTATCAAACATTCTTGCAACATTATTAATAATGCTTTAAAATGTATTTGGCTCCAAACTCTACCGTGTTTCTTGAATTTTTATTGCTGAGATTAATAATTAATGTTATTAAACATTCTTGCAACATTATTAATAATGCTTTAAAATGTATTTGGCTCGAAACTCTACCGTGTTTCTTGAATTTTTATTGCTTANGTTAAATCGGGAATTTACACATATTTACAAAACGCCCGCTCCTACGGAAAAATTCTTGAAATAAAAGTTGAAGAGCTCTAAATTCTCTATAAAAAAGGTTCTCTTCGATTTTATCGTAAGTTCAATGTAGCGACTTTTGAAAGGCATGACGATGACAGCGACCTCGACAGTTTCAGAAAGCATGAATCCAGAAGATTTCTGAAGTTTTACTTGGATATATGTCTGCAACATATGTCCGCATAATTGTCGGAATTCTGAATAAATTCCAGATAGAGATTCATGATCATTTGACGCGGAAAATCGGTTTGCAAACAATTTGCAGACCTTTTGTTGCATGAAATGTCTGCAACATATATATATAATTTAATAAAAAATATACACTTACCACAAATAGAACCACGAGGACACGCATTTCGAAGAGATGAAAGAAATTCCGAATTTGACCGAATACTTCCCATCGACTGACTCGAAATCGCAGAAATTTTCCTTTTATAAGAGTCCGAACAGGAAAGAAGAAAGCAACCCTTTCTCAAGTTCGGATTTCCCAGATTTTCTACCCCTTGGGCAAAATTTGGATCACTTATTCGGGTGTATATTAATTTCGGAGTGCTGAAGGAAAGTGGTCTTCGGAAAAGCGAAAGTTACGTGAACTTTCACCATCTAATGACAATTCCTCCCATTTTCCGGTTTTATTTAGGCCGAGAATTCCTGAGGATGAAACTTCTGGAAATTATATACTCAATATAATTCGACACAGCTGTCGATATAAAAACCAACGTCGGCAACGCAGGTATCTAGACAGACCTTTTTTACCGACGTCGATCAAGTTCCTCGACGCGTGTCATTTCGTTAAATCGGGAATTTACGAATATTTACAAAACGCCCGCTCCTACGGAAAAATTCTTGAAATAAAAGTTGAAGAGCTCTAAATTCTCTATAAAAAAGCTTCTCTTCGATTTTATCGTAAATTCAATATAGCGACTTTTGAAAGGCATTTTCAGCATTTCAGTTCTTGTGGGGAAATGAAGAGGACGCTGCTGATAACGAAGACGTCCCAGAGTTTATCTCGTTCGCCCCCAGCAGCTCTAGAATTGAAAATGACGATGATAACGACCTCGACAACGACTTCGACGATGACGACGTCGACGATAACACACCGAGAAAACCTTTCACAATCTACACAGCGATTTGGAGGCGATTCTGTTGCTTTTGGAGAAGAAATAAAACTCTGGATTGATAAGAAAATCTGCAGATTTTGTAATTGTTTAATGTCGAACCAGATTTAATCGTATACAGGAAGAAGCACCTATGGGATCAGTCGAGGTAAACTGTCGCCAGGTGTACTACAAGGGAAGCACTTTTGTGATTGTTCTTATTACAGTCGCGGGGCACGCATTTCTGACGCAATTCATATTTCTAATAAAGCAATTGCCATCCCAGATAGAAATTCATGAACATCATATGATGAAGAAAATTGATTTACATACAATTTGCATGAAATGTCTGCAACGTATGTACGCATAATTGTCATAATTACGAATAAATCCCAGATAGAAATTCATGATCATCATTTGACGCGGAAAATCGATTTGCAAACAATTTGCAGACCATTTTTTGCATGATATGTCTGCAACATGTGTCCGCATAATTGTCGGAATTCTGAATAAATTCCAGATAGAGATTCATGATCATTTGACGCGGAAAATCGGTTTGCAAACAATTTGCAGACCTTTTGTTGCATGAAATGTCTGCAACATATGTGCGCATAATTATTATAATTCCGAATAAATCCTAGATATTCATGATCATCATAAAAATGAAACGTCTGCAATATATGTACAATTAGCAGACCATTTGTTACAAGATATGTCTGCAACATATGTAAACATAATTGTCATAATTACGAATAAATCCCAGATAGAAATTCATGAACATCATTTGACGCAGAAATTCGATTTACAAACAATTTGCAGACAATTCGTTTCAAATTTTACCACGTGAATATGGGGGCGCTGAAGTAGGTCCTAGAATTCAGGAAATTTCATTTTTCATCAAAAATTTATTTATTCATCATGGACTAAAACCATCATGGCGTGGCCCGTGCACAATTTCGATGTTTTACGATTCTTGGAGGCTTAGAACCGAAAATGAAGAATTTCAGGACCTAGCTCGAAGAATTCTGAATACCATAGATATTGAATATCACAGAGTCAGATGGGAAAATATGGAAAATACTTTTACCAACGATTGCAAGAGAATGCTGGCTTGTCCCATGGCTACCACGTGTTCTTGGATCAAAAATTTAGTTACCGCTAAACATCAGAGATGGCGCCTGAGGTCCTAAACAGTCGTAAGAATAATGAATTCCCGGGATTTCGGCAGTTTTACGTCGATCTCTTCATCATTACTTTCCCGAAATGGCGTAAGGAACCCTTCAGTTCGTATAATTCTCAACGTAGACTGTAAAAGACTACAACATAAATATAAGTTGCAGCTAAACATCACAGATGGCGACGCTGGTCTTAAACAGTCGTTAGAATAATGAATTCCCAGGATTTCGACAGTTTTACGTCGATTTCTTCATCATTACTTTCCCAAAATGACATATGGAACACTTCAGTTCGTATAATTCTCAACATAAACTGTAAAAGACTTCAACATAAATATAAATGTCGGTAACGAGACGCGCCAGTTTATGTTCCCACTTGAGTATTCAAAATGGCGTTCCCACCAAAAAGGGTATGGATGAATTTTAATTTATCGACGTGAATTAAATTTCTCAGCGCTTTTCATATCACCTTAATGTTGCAATGTGAGCTAAATATGACGTTGTTTCATGTTCCCGTTGCCATCACGGCATGACTCAAATATGAACCACAGACGCTGCAATTGTTTATCAACAATGCATGAGATAAATTTAGTTACACATGTGCGTACAAGCATTCAGACATTGCATGTCCTTAATTTTATTTCATATTTACGTATTTTTGGTTCGTTATTGTATCTGCAAATATGAGTTTCAAATGCGGACTGATAAGCAGCGCCCTCGTGGCCGTTTCGCGAACTTTTCGGAGGCAACCTTCATGCAAATTTTTCGTCATTTATCTATCTGAGATGTTGCAACAATAAAGTATGCCAAAGTATTTTCGTTGGCTTTTATTGAAACTTGTTGTATCACTCGCCATTGTTAAATAAACTAATAAGTATGGCAGCATGTTAATCCTGGCTTAATTGTAAACGTGATTCGTCGTTAACTATTGTTAAATCAACTAACGCCTTTTGTGTAAAGGAAAAAAAAATAGCAATTGCCCTTCCTCAGGGTTTCATCAATTACATATGTTATAAATAACACGGACACAATCTTAAATTAACAATAAATAATCGTCGCAATTTGTTGAAGATCTGCAATCATTGTTGCTACCGATTAAGGTGAAGTGAAACTAACCTCGAATGAGACACTTTCTTTGGAGGATATTCCACAGAAATGTTTCGAATTTTATTAAATGAATTCCATATAATTATTGAACGACCTGACACGTTCAAATATTTGGGTTTTTAAATAAACATTCTTTTTCGGTTTAGCCTATACCAGAACCAAAATGGCGATGTTTTAAGGTATTACGAAAGTATCAGCTTATATATATCGGGGAAGTAAAATCGTTCGTCGTCCCGTAAGTAACGTACATTTTTTGAGCAAAACTTTAGTTGCGGCTAAACGTCACAGATGGCGCCACTGGTCCATCAGAGTATCAAAAAATCATGAATAAGCGAGATTTCGACAGTTTTATGTCGCTCTCTTCGCCATTACTTTTCTAAAATGGCATATGAAACGTTTCATTTCGTATAATTCACAATGTGAACTGTAAAAGACTTCAACATAAATATGAATGTCGGTAACGTGACGCGCCAAGTTATGTTACCACTTGAGTATTCAAAATGACGTTACCACCAAGAAAGGTATACATGAATTTTATTTCATCGACGTCGATTAAATTTCTCATCTTAAGGTGATGTGAAAGACGGCGTTGGTCCATTAGAGTATCATAAATTATAAATCCACGGGATTTCGACAGATTTACATCAGTCTCTTTATAATTATTCTGCCAAAATGACATGTGGAACACTTAAATTCGTATAATTCTCAACGCAGACTGTAAAAGACTTTAAAAATTCATGCAATGAAAGTTGAAGAGCTCTAAATTCTCTATAAAAAAGCTTCTCTTCGATTTTATCGTAAGTTCAATGTAGGGACTTTTGAAAGGCATGACGATGACAGCGACCTCGACAGTTTCAGAAAGCATGAATCCAGAAGATTTCTGAAGTTTTACTTGGATTTTTTTATAATTGTTGTACGAAAACGGAAGATGAAGTATGTCATTTAGTACAATACTCAATATAATTCGACACATCTGTCGATATAAAAACCAACGTCAGCAAGGTAGGGATTTATAAAAATCTCTTTTACCGACGTTGATCATGTTCATCGACGTGTTTCACTTCGTTAAATCGGGATTTTGTGAATATTTAGAAAACAACCGCTCCTACGAAAAAATTCTTGAAATAAAAGTTGAAGCGCTCTAAATTCTCTATAAAAAAGCTTCTCTTCGATTTTATCGTAAGTTCAATATAGCGATTTTTGAAAGGCATGCCGATGACAGCGACCTCTACAGTTTCAGAAAGCATGAATCCAGAAGATTTCTGAAGTTTCATTTGGATTTTTTTATAATTATTGTACGAAAACGGAAGACGGAGAATGCCATTTAGTATAATACTCAATATAATTCGACACAGCTGTCTATATAAAAACCAACGTCGGCAACGTAGGTATTTATAAAAATCTCTTTTACCGACGTCGATGAATTTCCTCGGCATGTTTCACTTCACCTTAAGACTTGAAACCGTCAATGTTTAGTCATATTAAAATAATTTCTCCCTTAAAAAGAAACTTCTCTTAACGCACATATGCTGTAGTGTTTTTTAACAATAGTTAATAACACTATTAGGACATAGCAATTATCTAATCACTAATTTCAATATAATGTACATGATATATGATACAACAGTTACGGGAATCGGTGTGTATATATATTTACAAAGAAACCGAAACGTCCGATTCTCAATTGTTATGAAAAATTACATTGTTAACTCTACTAGTTGTTTTTAATTGATGTTAAAATATTGGTAAAATTATTCGCTCCGGTAAGATCGTCGTAATACAACATATTAAAATTCTTAACCAGAATGGAGACAATCTTATGTTGCTATTAATTATTGTTTTACAAATATTTTCCTTTTTTCTTTCCAGTTAGTCAGTGATAAACAACGTTGTTAGTTTAATTTTATTAGCACGACTGCGCCCGTTAAACAGTCATACGAATAATAATCATCGACTCGATTTCATGAAACGTATTTCATTGAATTATGAACGTGCACGGTAG